GGGACCCCGAGGCTGCATGAGTGATGTGTGGTGACCAGGATGGTCACCAGAAGTTATGACCACAAGTCCTCCCCAGAGCCAGGGGGAACGTCACACCCCAAGACCAGAACAGAGGGGCAGATGCCAGGAGGGCGCCTGGGACCCTATTCTTGTCCTGAGCAAGGCAACTCTGACCCAGGTGAGACCGAGGCGGACACAGACCAGGATGTCACAGAAGGAGAACCTCGCCCTCAGGGCTACACCAGTCCACGGACCACCTGCTTCAAGGTAACCTAGGGGCTTGTTACCGACACACATTCCTGGGCCTCCCTACAGCCACTGTGACTCAAAATCTTAAGGGGTAGGTCTCTGAGTCTGTGTTAAAAGTAAAGTTCTCCAGGTGATTCGAGGGGCACCCAGGGAAGTTCCAACCTGAAGCATCACTGCCCAGCCCCGGCCAGCGGGGGCTCCCAGCCTTCCTCACCGGGAACAGCTCTGTCTGTCACCAAGAGGAGGACTTCCGTTTCTGCCAATAAGTGGGCCTGATGCCATGAAAAACCTCTCTCTGCAAGTTCTGGAAGAGAGCCAACCTCCTGCAGGCTCTGCTGAGCTCACCTGACAGGGAAGGGGGTGTCCCCATGGCCAAGAGGGGAGCAGGTGCGCCCTGGCTCTGACCCGCTGGCCTCCAGGGGTTGCCCACCTGAGGAGCCCCAGTGTGGACCTTACTGCCCCCCGAGGGGAAGAGGCTGCGCCTGGAAGCAGCACGAAGCAAGAACTGGCAGCTGAGATTCCACATCGAAAAGCTGAACCAAGAACCAAAGGGTGATGCAAACCAAACCACAAAGCCAGACAAAAGCCAACCAAACCCTCGCATCGGCCAACGGGGGGAAGGAAGCTCACCTGCCCCGGCCTGTGCTCCTGGAGTGTAAGTGGTGCGTGTGCTTAGGCTCGCCCTCACGGGACACTGGCTCTGTGCTTACGTGACACGGGTTGTCTAGAAAACCCCACACCTATAAACCAACCCCACGCGTGTCCCGGCGTGGTTTGCGGGATCACCTCTCCAGAGCCCACGGGAACCCACGGATACAAAACCTCCACAATCACAGCCTAAGCCGGCAGACCCACGAAGAAGCAAGCGTCTGAGAGTCCACCGCGAACAGAATCAGACTCTCCAAGAGGCGCAGGTGACGGAGGGACAGGATGGGTATGAGGACATGAGCACATTCAAGGGGCTGAAGAATCCAAAGCTCTGTCGTCAAACGGGAGGAAAATACAAGACGCTAAGACCAAGCAGGTGAGCCCCTCACATGAGGACATTTGGAAATGAAAAACCAGGTGGCAACTGAAATAAACACCTCACCGGCTGGCACACGGGAAGAGTTAGGAAACCACGAAGAAGCTGCTAAGGATGCAGCACAGGAAGACCGAGACGGGGGGTTTGAGAGACACCAAGGAGGGTGGACCTGGAGGGGCAAGTGGAAGTTTCCAGGCGAGGTCAGAGCAGTTAGGGGAGGTACTGTTCTAGGACACGGTGGGGCTGATTTTCCACTTGACGCAGGACACAAACCCTCATTCGGGAATCACGACACCTTGTAGGCAGGACAAGTAAAAATAATCCACCAGCTTGATTGACTACAGTGAAACGATGGAACACCAAAGTCAAAGAGAAGGTGTTCAAGGCCACCAGACGGGAGGAAGGGTCACCTACAAAGGACTGTCAGTTAGCTCGACAGGGCACACCAGCCGGGAGACGGTGGTGGATCTCCAGCCTGCTCAGACAGAATACAGACCTCTAATAACCTATAATGGAAAAGAATCTGAAAAAGAATAAATATATATATGTATATATATATATATATATATGTGTGTGTGTGTGTGTGTGTGTGTGTGTAACTGAATCACTTTGCTGTACACCTGAAACACTGTAAATCAACTATACTTCAATTAAAACAAATTGTTTCTATTAAAATAAATACAGATCTCAGCCTGTGATGTTCTACACAACTAAACCATTGTATTGTCCAAGAGCAAAGGCAAAATACAAAAATTTCAGACGAGCAGAAACTGAGCAGGCCCTCGACAGACCATCCCGGAAGAGAGCACAGGCTTCGGGAGGAAGGAAATTAAACCCAGACTGAGAGACAGAAAACTCGCAAATCTGTCGGCAAACGAAAACTCGCAAATCTGTCGGCAAACACGCTCCTCTAGCGTCAGGACAAGCAGCTAACGCAGAGGACTGTTTACAAAGGCAAAACCCAAACACGGGGCAGCAGGGCCCGTGAAATGGGAGGGTGATGGGGTGAGAGCCCCCCGGCCCGGGGGAGGGGGTGCGGGAGGCAAGGAGCAGCTGCTGACCGATGGGACGGGCAGGCCGTCAGGACAGAATCGACTTGCACGGCCTCCACACGCGGAAGGCAAGAGGATCGGAACCCCGCCACCCCCGGTGAAGCCCATCAGACGTGAACAGGAGCCGCAAACCCCCAGAGCAGGCAGGGCCTCCACGCCTCCGACGTGGTCCCTCCACAGAGCGGGGCACGTGGGCTTCAGGCCCATCATTCTCTGAAACTCTCTGTCTGAAGTCTCTGTGATGAGAGCGCTCTTTTCACCTGGTGTCCTCACCCCGCCCCCGCCCCCACCCCCCGCAGCTCCACCGTCACCCCGGGAGCCCCTGAGGTCGCAGGTCCCACCTCCAGCTGGCTCCTGGCTCCCCCTACCCGCACCCACCCCAACACCATGGCTGCAGGCCCTGGGCTGGCCCGCCACCGAGTCTCGCCTGTGGGCCCTGACCAAGTCCTGCCCGCTGCCCCATGCGTGCCACCCCAGGGAACCATGCAGGGCACAGGGCTGACCCGTGGCCACTCCTGCTCTGTGGCCTCCACCATCTGCCCCGTCCAATGCCTGCTGGCTCCGGGTCACGACTCATGCCCGAGGCCGCCAGACTGGTGAAGAAGCCCCGCAGGCATCTGTGTGAGGTGGGTGAGGTCAGCACCCACCCAACGCAGACACCGCGTGCCACGCCCAGGTCACCTGGCAGAGACACGCAGAGGCGTGGCTGGCCCCCGAACACCTCTGTCCAAGATGTTCCTGCCATTCGCTGGCCTTTCCTCGCCCTCCCAGCCAGCTCCACTCAGCCCTGATGTCACCTCCTCCTAGAAGCCTTCCTGGACCTGCCGGGCTCAAGCCAGGTACTCATCCCTCAGAGGCCCACACACTCTGCCCTCTTGCTGTCGCCTTTCTTCCTCCCTGGATGGCAAGGAGCACGAACAGTCCCTGGTGAGTTAGGATGGCGCAAGCAACCGAGTGACCGGAATCTGCAGGGGGGTGGGCGCCGTGCAGGAGGGACCCGGGCCGCACCGGCCACCTGTCACCGCTCACGAGATCTGCCCTGAAGACGGACATCCACCCAGAAATCAGAGCGGCTCAGACAAGGCTCTAGAACCCACGAACGAGGGGGAGCAGGTCTGCCTGGGACACGGGGCCTGAGGGTCGCAGGACAGGAGCCCAGAGAAGCTGCGAGCCTGAGACACAGAGAGAAATCACTGAGGTTGGGGAGAGGTGTGTGGGCGGGCACTGCCGTGGGCAGGGGGGCAGGCGGGCGCACGGGCAGGTACCGCGTGCTGGGACAGAGATGATTTTGTCCAGCATGCCCCATCCTTGAGGTTCAGGTTCTGGGACTGGCGTGGCGGTGGAATTCAGCACGGCTGTTCGCGCCCCAGTGCGTGGGAGCTGGGCCTGCAGGCCTTTCCCAGTGATGGCATCTGGCCCCGGGATTAGCGCCCCTTCGCCCACACCAGGGCTCTTGAGAGCCTCCGGGTGAGGAGGGTTCAGGAGTGTCAGGTAACCCACGGGACCCAGGCCGACAGCTCAGGCTCCAGAAATCCGGTGGCTCTGGGCTGGGCTGACTTATCGCGTTGGCAGGAAAGAAAAAACTCCTCCGTGCAGGAGCATTCCACAAAAGGCGCCCGACTTCCCCGGCACTTGTACCTCATTAACATTCCGCAGACATCGCTGAGGACTTAATAACGCCAAGCAGGCTGAATGGACGCATCGTTTCGGGCTGCTCCGTATTCAGCCACCAGCGAGCGACGCTCCTCCCCGCGCCCAACCTGCGCATTAGCATTTGCAGAAAGCCCCCATCTGCATTGCGACAATGGTCCTGCCCCAAATCCGGAGCCGTTGTCACAATTGTCCTTTGTACCCACTCCAGCGGGCAGGCAGGCAACGCGACCCAGGGGCCCGTCGGCGAGGCCGCCGGGCCAGAATCCCGACGGTGTGTGATGAGGCCCCGGGCAGCCCAGCGCCCAGCAGGGTGGGCGCCCAGGCTCGGTCTTGCACGCCCAGCTCCCAGAGAGGACGTCCACAGGCAGCCTTGGGAGCAGGGAGAGGCCGTGGCTCCTTTCCAGAACACTTTCTGCCCTTCTGCCAGCAGTGACCAAATGCGGGAGGGTACATCACGGGTCGGCCGCCCACAAAGCCAGCACCAGGCGGACGGGGCGCCAGCCGCCCAGGAGCACAACGTGAACTAGCCACCCTCTGCCAGGCTTGAGACAGTGACGCCACCCTTGCAACCACCAGTAAGGCGGGAGCACTCTGGGGGTCCTGGGAAGAGGTCCAAGAGGGGAGTGATGGACACAGAAGTGACAGGGAACAAAGGCGCAGAGCGTCGAGGAGGGCAGAGCTGCAGGCACACACGGTGCTGGCTCAGGACCCCCAGCCCCACTCCACCTGGAATGGGGGTCAGCGTGTACTACGGGCCACCTCCTCTCTGCCAGACCTGGGGCGCCAGCCACACAGCACGAGCGAGGCAGGGCCTGGCTCCCAGAAGCCCAGAACAGAAGAGAATGTCCGCGGGTGATAGCGGGCCAGCGGGAGCAGACATGACAATACCAGCTGTCCACAGGACAAGAGCAAGTGCTAGGGGGAGAAGGGGGCATCCGGACACCCCAGAGGCCCCAGCAGCCCTGGGTCAGAGCTGAGCGTGGCCCTGTCCCCACCCCTCACCCTGTGTGAAGGTTTCTCACCAGAACTGTCGTAGCCGTCCACCGAGAAGTGCTCAGGCCTCCGCTCCTCCGACGTGGGGTCGCAAGTGATGTGCGGGACCGTCAGCATCCTCTCTCCCGGGCTCACCCCGTTGTCCTTGTCCAGTTTGAACTTTTTTTTCTTTACCTAAAAAAACCAGACAATAAAACTGTCAGTTCCTGGGTGTCCTCTGCCAGGCCGTCTGCTGGCCCCAGACCACCCTTGGGGCACCTGCCGGGGCCCAGGCCAGCGACCCTCCCACACAGGAATACCCCAGGGCAGGTGGGAACGAGGGCTGTGACCAGCGGGGAGTTAGAGCGGGGCGGGCAGACAGACTGAGGCCAGCCGAGGCTTCCCTGAGGAGGGGACCTGGAGGGAGCAGGCCATGCTGGGATCTGGGAGAACCTTCTGGCAGAGGAAAGAGCAGGTGCAAAGGCTCCAGAGGCAGCCAGAACCTGGGAGACTGCGTCTCTCCACGGATGGTGCGGGCGCGGGCCAGGAAGGAGAGCTCTGTCGGGGCGGGCCACACCCTTCGTTCACGAGACTCTTGCCTCAAGTCTGCCCGAGCTCCCTTATCCTATGACCACAAGACCCTCTTCCCTGAGCCAGGATGCCACCTCCATCCCCTGTGGCCCACCAGGCCCAGCATGGAAAGCCCAACACCAAGGCCCTCTCAAGAGCCTTCTCCCAGCAGCTGGCCAGAATCCAGCCCGTCCTGTTCCCGGGGTACTTCCTCGGGACCTCCCCCAGCCCTGGCCCTGGAGCGGCCAGTCCTACAAGCCCCCAAGCCTGGGGACACCAGGATGGCAGGAGCCCAGCACGGGGTGTGCTCCCCCCCCCAGTGCCCACAGTGCCATGGGCCACGCCGGGCTGAAGCACCAGAGTCAAATCCTGGCCGTGAGCTGTGGCCACGTGGCCTCCCTGCCCGTGTGTGAGTGCCCCATCCTGGTGGCGGCGGGGGGGTGCTGGTTACCATGGCAGACTTCTTGGGCTTGGGGCTGGGGGAGAGCAGAGCATGGCTGCGGGGCGGCTTCCGGACATAGATCTTCCAGGTGGAGGAGTTGGGGTTCTCGGCCGCGTAGCACCGCCATGCCGTCTGAAACCAGCAGAAGGGAGTGGTTGTCACCGCAGAGCCCCTGACGGGGGCTCTCAGGGAGCTGCGGCCCGCCACCCCTGCCTGGGCCCCCTTCTGGCAAGACCACGGGGCTTCCTGGCCACCAGCCCCTTCCCCAGGCTCAGGGCCTGCCCCCACCCCCAACAGCCTGTTCCCTTCTGCAGCCCACAGCCTCATGGACGGTCGCACGCGGCTCAGCCACCACAGGGGCCTGTGAGCCCCAGTCTGTCTGCGCCCACCTCCACCTGCCGGTTCCCCCGCAGGGCCCCCACCCTCCGTCCTGGTCGCCGGCCTCTCCTCGGGGACGCCGCAGGGGAGAGGTCACTGGGGGCGTGGAGGGGCAGGGCCCCCAGGACCAGCAGGAGGCGGGGCTGAGTGTCCAGGAGGCAGAGCCCCCAGGGACCCACAGTTTCCGGGGCCTCCAGATGTCCTGGGGGTGAAGGTCTTAGGCCTTCACTCTAGAGATGCCCACGGCGACTACCACCAGGGTGTGGCCTGGAGGAGGAGACCCAAGGGGAGGCCACGTCTGGTGGGGGGGCCGGAGGGGGCGTCAGGAGCCCCGTAGGAGCATGCACCCTGAGGGCCTCGGCACTGCCGGCCGTGGGAGCTGGAGAGAGAGAAGCCGGGCGGGGGGCGGGGAGGGCTGCCGGGACAGTGATGCCACCTCTGCGATGGGAACCCAGCGGACATGCCCCCCCGCCCCCCCCGCCCCCCCATCCCAGCCCCGCCCTCCAGGCCCCGCTCCAGGCCTCTCCCGCCTCCTGGGAGGCTCGTGTGAGGCCGCACACACGCCCCACGGGAAGTCAGTGCGCCCCCTCCATGGGCAGACCATCTGCAGCCTGATTTACGGTCTCCCCGAGAGGAGGCTGTGGCGCCGTAAAGCCAGGCCTGAGGGGGGGCCGAGCCCCCAGCTTTACGGCTGCTGCCTTCACTTCCTTCCGGTGCAGGATTAGCGTCCGGCCCCAGACGGTGGTTCCGGACAGGCTTACAAGGAACAGGATAGAGGCCCTGGCTGAGCTGCGGTCGCCGGCGTGACCCCAGACGGTCTCCGGGGGCCGTCCAGCTCTGGGGTGCCCAGAGGGGTCCAGGCTGTGAACCGCAGCCACGCCAGCGGGTGCAGGGCCGCACGCCCATGCCGGCACGCGGTGACAGCCCTGCCCCAAGCCCCTGCCCGGCCACCCCTCCCATAGCCCCGTGCCCACTCTGCCTTCTCCTCAGCCCCGGGTGGCTGCCGGCCGACACCCTCGGAACACGAGCCTCCAGGGGTCCCTGTGCCCGAGCCTTGCTTGGCACTGAGAGGGCCGCCCAGTCCTCCAGGCTGTTCCAGGAGCCTGGGGTCCCGGAGCCCAGTGTCCAGGGGCTCGGGGCCGCCTGCCTGCTTGCCCGCCTCTGGAACCTTCCTCTCCCACTGCTCTCGGGCTGGGAACCTCTGGGACAGCCTCATCACAGAAGCCTGGCGGGGAGCGAGGGGCCTAGGGCAGGTGCAGCCCCTGCCCCGCCCCCAAGGCCCGGCACCGTGAGCCCCGGGCCCTGTAGGGGCAGCAGCCGGGCCTTCAGAAAGTGAAGCTGGCCCGTCAGTCCAGAGCGCGGCCCGTGCCGTTGGGTCACCGGTCCTCACCTCCTATCGGCCGGGAGGACTGAGCCCTGTGGGTGCTGGGAGTGGCCCAGAAGCATCAGTACTGCACAAGCAGGCCCTGACCCCTGACCCTGGGGGGGGAACGGCCACCTGGGGACCCCTTACTCTTCGCTCCAAGTCCTCCCTTGCAGAGCTGGGGGCTGGCCACAGAGGAGGGAGAAGACAGACACCAGGCGGCCGCTGCAGCTGGAGGCCAAGGGCCCACCGGACTGACCAAATCTGGGACAGGCCAGGTCACCTTCTAGTCCGCCGGCCTGGCCCGCAGGATGGAGGAAGGTGGGCTCCCAGGCTCCTGTGCCCCCACCCCATCGGCATCACCCGACGGTTCCCAGGACAGGAGTTACAACAGGTGGGCATGTCTGTGGCACGGATTGCGGCCCTTCCGTGTTCACGAGGGTCCACAGGAGAGGGTCTCGGTGGCCCCGGGGGCCGGTTCAGCTCAGGGCTGAGAGCCGTTCCCAGACCAGACACGGCTCGTACTTGCCCGGGCAACACAGAGCCGGGCACACTGACCACCACACGACGGCGACAAGGCCGCGGCGGTGGCTGCCATCACCTGGATGAGCGAGGCTGCCGCCGGGATTTGCCGGTTGAAGTGCTTCTGCCTCTGCTTCTGCTGGACCTTCAGGGCAAAACCGGAGCCCAGAATCCCCTGCAAGGAACAGAAACCAGGGCTCACATCCCGCAGACGGGGGCGTGGAGAGACAGGCTGGGCACCGGTGGCCTGCTTGGCGCTGCGGGCCCCATGGAGGAGGTCAGAGCCTCTGGCCCAGCCCGTGGGGCAGAAAGCAGCCCCACCCAAGCAGGACCCACTGCTGCCCCCACCCCCCCAGGGTTGCTAACAGGATGGAAAGGGCCGGCTCACCAGGGGGAGCTCCCTGTCCACAGAGGGGATCAAGCCATACACATATACATACGCTCTATGTGTACATACATACACACACTATACCACAGCCATGTGACACACACGTGCATGGACAGACATACCTGCAATACACACGTGCAGTGCATTAAGGACTGCCACACACAGAGAACATACATATGTGACACACATGCACGAGCACATACAAATGCATGCGGTATGTATACCTATGTGACACGTGCATAGACAATACATACACACACAAAAATACATGGAGCACGTGTGCATGATGCACACACAGAGTATGTACACACAGACACAGACTGCATGATGTATAACACGTGCACATACAGTGCATGCACACACACGGTATGGTCACACACCTACCAGGCGCCTACATACACACAGAGTGAACTAGAAGATTTTAACGCCCATGGTCTACGGTCTCCAGGAAGGACAGGGGTCAAAGCCACCCAGGCCACAGTGCAGCACCGCTCCCTCCCTCACGGCTTGCCCCTCTGCGGTTCTGTGGCAGCCACCATGGGCGCTTCACCGCTAGCCTCAGCGGCCGAATGAGCTGGCCTACACCCCACTATTTGCCATGAAAGGCCTGGTGATCGCCGCCGCCCACACTTGCAAAGGACCCACCGGGAGCCGGGAACAGGAAGGCGGCGGCCTCCAGAGTCTCTGAGGCAGGCGAGCTGGGGTCTGAATGCGCCCCCTGAGGGTGGTCTGCTCACAGGTCTGCCAGCCCCAGAGCCCGGAGGAGGCTGAGGAACTGTGGAAAGGCCCCCCAACACGGAGCACCTACCGCTGGAAGCGCAAAGAAGGAGATGGCGAAGACGGAGAAGCAGGAGGCGATGGTCTTCCCGACCCACGTCTGGGGCACCTTGTCCCCATAGCCAATGGTGGTGACCGTCACCTGCAAGGACGAGGGACAGCGGTTGGCACGCAAGCCCCAGAACCTCAGGGTGGGCGTCCGTCCGTCCAGCCTGAGCCCCGCGCTCCATCCGAGACCTGCCACCGCGCAACAGAGGCCAGTGAGAGAGCCCAGCACCGAGAGGCCGGGAGGCTGAGAGCACGGTGCTCGAGCCCGCAGGGTCTGGGTCCCCCAGGTTAACGCCGCAAAGGAAGCAAGCCCCAGCGTACACATGGGAGCTCGGCGCCGACGGGGGATAGCCTCCCCGCCCCACCCCCTGCCCCGTCCCCAGGAGGCCTGCCAACCGGGCCACCGATGTCGCTGTGCTCCGGCCCCCAGGAAGCCGGAAGCTCCCACAGAGGCCCACCCTCCCCAGAGAGCCCGGCCACGATGACACGCCACTTCCTGACGCCACCCCAGGCACCAGGTGCTGCGTTTGCCCTTTGCTCGGAGGGAATCAGACGCAGCTAGAGCCTCCTTCTACATGGGGGAGCTGTCCATCCAGGGCGTGTGCCGGGACAGTGGGACTGAGGGGCTGCTTCCACCCCACCCCCACCCTAGGCTTGCCTCTGCTGCCATCTGAGGCTTGCTTCCCCCCGGGGCCTCCGGCGTGAGCCCGACAACGCCATCCTGCAGGGACTCGGAGCCCACCCTGGCTGTGCCGGCCACGCGGCCCACACCTGTCCAAGCCAGGGTTCGGGTGCTTGAGGAGCCAGCTCTGTGCCTGGCAGGGGGACCAGGGCGCCCAGAGTCCCTGCTCATCCCGTCAGCACACGTGCTCAACCCGTGGTCTTGCCAGCCCTGTGCTAGGCAGCCCGGCTTCCCCCTTCCAGGGCCCCCAGCCCAGGCCAAGTGAGGACGGCCCCTGGCAGCTCGGGAAGTTCTGCACGGAGCCTCCATGAGACCCCCCTGCCCACTGAGACCGGCAGGGAGCAGGGCCTGGGGAGGCCCATTTCATAGATTCCACTGAACAAGGCCCAGGCGGGAGGCGGCAGCTTCTACAGCAGGGTCCTTGGGGCCCGCACACGTGTCCACGCGGACAGGGACAGGCACACAGGACGGCTCAGAAGCCCCGGGGCAGAGGCGAGATGTCCTCAGGAAGCAGGAGTGACCAAGAGTCCGGGCAGCGGGAAGGACCGCAGTGCGGGAGCCCGGGTTACACCAAAGAGCACAACCTGGGGGCAGCACGGGCGCACGCTCCCGCCCACCCAACACCCACCACGCGACTGTTCGTGGTCCTGGCGCCCGTGACCGCCACACGGAGCACTTCCTGGCAACGTCACCGTCCCTCAGACACACGTCCACACCCGCTTCCAATGTGCTGCCCGTGCACGTGTGCACACACACAGATGGCCTGACACGGAGACAGGGAGCCGCACACACACGCTGAGACACGCTAAGGCAGCAACGAGGCACACGCACGTGTACGAACCACACGTGGCGCAGGGTCACATAAAGAGGGGCCGGTGCCCACGTCAAGCCCAGCTCCCTCCAGGCCCAACGCCTCACATGCACACACAGGCAGTGCACACCTGGAGCCCGGCCCAGTACCTGCAGGGTGGAGCAGGCCAGCCTGAGGCCTTGGGCAAGGCTGAAGGCCAGCAGGCAGATAAGGGGGCCAGGAGAACCTGCAGCTCCCCGCCAGCAGCCCCCAGAGGGCCTGCACCCCTCGTGTGAGGCCTGGGCGGCAGCTGCCTCTCAGCACCTGGGTGCACGGAGCAAAGGCACATCAGGGCTGCAGATGGGGTGGGGCGTCTTCCGGAAAGTGGCTCTCACAGGATTATCCATTTATGTGTAAACACACAGTGGGTCTATTTTTAAATTTCTAACTTTTATCTTCTAATGCGGTATTGACAGACGTGAGCCCCGTAAACAAAAGCTTTCTGGGGTCTTCAGTCACTGATAAGGGCATCAAGGGGTCCTGAGACTCCAAGTTCGAGAACGGCAGCCGTGCAGGGAGGTGGGGGCAGGGTGACCTCTGAGATGGACCTGAGTGTGGCCCTCACGCCAGGGGGGCAAATTTTAAGCAGTGCCAGAAAACTCGGGCCTCGAGACAAATAACACGTAATACAACCTTCTAATTATCAAAATTAAGGCAAAAAAAAAAAAAAACCAAGACAACTGGGAAACTGATGTAGGTGGGAGGAGGAAAGGGGTTGGCTGAGCGGTGCGGCCAGGCCAGCGGGTGGGGACACCCGAGGCCACCTCCCTTCTCGGACAAGAGCACTGGAGGCGGGACCCCATGTCCTCGCCGCCTGGCTGGGAGGTGCTGGGACTCCAATGGTGGGCAGCAGGAAGAAGCCAGGGGAGCCCCGGCCAGGTGTCCCCCACCCTGCGGTGCAGGGCACACTCCTGGCTTCTCAGACTCTGCCACAGACCTTCTTTGTCAAGTTAACGACATCCTTTCAGCTCTTTGAGGAAACAGCCCATCCCCGCAGAGCTGTTTGTTTTTCCTGAATTCACAGACACAAGCAGCTCAGGAATGGGCCGTTTTATAGCCTGCGTGCTCGGAACTCGCCCCCCACGGCAGGCGATCGGAATGCAGAGCTGCACGTCCCCTGGGCACAGACTCGGGGAGACAGCTCAGCCGGGGGGCTGAGCCTAGGGTGCGTCCCCCGTCCCCCGTGTCTCTCCTCCAGGGACAGGAGGCACGAGAGGACCTGCCAGTCCCCCCAGCACTTTGTGTCACGAGAAGCTGGCGCTGGTGTCATTTTATTTCCTCCTGGACGCCGGCCTCCGGGGGAAGCGGGAGGGCCAGCCCAGGAGCCCAGCTCCACAGAGGACGCGGTCAGCCCGCAGCCACACTGCAGGCCGTGGGCATCTGTCCAGAGGGAACGGGCAGCCACGAGTGGGAGTGAGGGGGTGCCAACGTGGACACTAGGGGCTCGCGCTGGGGAGGGCACCTCCGTTTGGCAAACTCGTGACCACGCTGTGAGCTCGGGTCCATCTGCCAGAGGGGGAAACTGAGGCCGGGGGGGTCTCACCACTGCTAAGTGACGGAGCTGGCAACCAAACCGAGGCCTGCTCATCCCCAGGCTCCTTGGCGGGACAGCCGGAGAATAAGCCCAGGGCCAGAGGCTGCCGCGCTGAGGGGTCCGGGGCTCGCCCAGCCTCGGGCCACCAACCTGCCCAGAGGAGGCTGGAAGGACGGAGCCAGGGAGAGGGCACCTCGGGGGAGGAGAGGTGTGGACAGAGGGGAGGCTGGGCGGGTGGCAGGACTGCCTCAGGACAGCAAAGGGTGGGAGCAGCGGTCCCGGGCCCCAGCTCCAGCCATCGTGGGGCTGCCCCAGGAGACCCCGGCCAGGCTTGCAAGGGACACCGTGAAGGGGACAGAGGCCGGCACGTGAGGGCCGAGGGGACAACCCTGCCAGGCTTGCAAATTGTGGGTAAAAACAAAAGCAAACACATGCCCCCAAACAAGCCCGCTTCCTTTCAGAAAGGAAAAACTCAATAAACGAACAGAAACCCACGCGGGCCCAGGGCTCCTCGTTGCGTGAGCGCATCTTCTCCCTATGGAAACCTCGGCGCCCTGGCCACTGTACTCTCGGGGAAAGGGTGCGGACCGTGGGGACGGGGTCAAGACCTTTCTCCCTCCTCGGGAGGGGCCCTCAGGAGCTTCATACAGCGCCTGGCGGGATGCCGTGGACACCCCGGGCCCTGCCCGGGCCGCGCCCACCCCATAGCATGGCCAGGCTCGTGGCCCCTCACGCAGGAGACTCTGCCTCGAGGGCTCAGCTCCGATGTGTCCTCCTCAGGGGGCCCTCGCTGACTCTCAGGGAAATCACGGCGTGTGGACCACGACTGACCACGACCAAGCCTCCGAGAGCGAGACCCCCGGGCGGCTGACCCCCTGCTGTGCCCCAGTGCCCAGCGCAGAGCGGGACTGCCGGGATGTGCCTGGTGCCCAGGACCAGCCCGGCCAAGAGGCCCCAGTCCTCAAAGGAATGTCTTGGAAGCAACGGAAAGGGTCGCTACCTTCGTGGGATCGTGGTCCCCTCAGGGAGCCCCACGTCAGCCCTCGGAGGTAGACCTGCCGCCTCCCATTTTACAGATGGGGAAACCAAGGCACGGAGCGGTCACATGCCCTGCCCTGGCCCCAGCGCAGCTGCACGGTGCACCCACCCCTCTGCGCCCCACTGCAGGCCTGGCGGGAAACACAGGTCCCTGGGGGCCAGGAAGAGCCAACACACGTAGGTGCGCACACGTGCACACGCGCGTGTGAAGAGGGGCCGCTCTGTGAGTTAAGGTGTTAGAGGCCGGGAGCCGGCCGGGGCAGAGCTGGACCCTGGGCACCAGCAGGGCTAAGGGCTGTGACTGGGCCGTGGCAGCCACGAACACTCGAGTGTGAATTAGGTGGCTGGGGGGTCACTGCCTGTCGGCCAGCCTGGGGGCGCTGCCAAGAGAACCGTGGCCAGTAACAGCCCCTAAAATTCACAGCCAGCCTTTGCTGCATCCTCGTTGGGCGCCAGATACCCCGGGCTCTCTGTGTCCTCGCTCACAACCCTCCCCAGCTCACGAAAATAGGCACCCAGCTTATACCCAGGGAGGCTGGGTAACCTGCCCAGGGCCACTCAGCAGGTCAGCAGCGGGACAGGATGGCTTCACACCACGCTCCCGCCCGTCTTACCCCACTACTTCCTGTTTCACTGTGTTCCTGACGCTGACCATGTTTCTCTCCCTCGAGCTGAAGCTGGAAAGTTCTTACCTGGGATGACAAGAGCTGAACACCTGCCTCACTGGGCCTGCTAAGTCCGTGTAAGAAAATCGCCCCAGGGGGTCCCTCAGTGGGCAGTAAGTACAGAGAGGCAGACCTGCCCTGTGGACCCCTACTCACCCTGCAAAACCCAGGTGTAAAGGCCCTTCTCTGGCTGGGCTCCCAGAGCCCATGGTCTCAGCCCCATACACAACCGTCGACAGGTGCAGGATGGGATCAGGGCAGGTGGCAGCCCAGGGTCCTGGAGACCCTCTGTTCTTAGCTGCATAGCACCCCTGGGCTTTGCATGGAGTCCAAGCAGAGGAAAAGCCTTGAAGGGCTGGGGGCCTGGCCCACCACCCTCCGGGCCCACAGGTCTTCGGTTTCCCCAGCTCCAGATGAGGTCCTGACCCTGGTTCCACCCACTGGGCGGTGCCGACAGGCCTTGCATGTGAATATCTGGGAGGCCCTGTCCTCACCCAGACCCCCCACTCGGCCCCCAGACCCTTTTCGCCTCACTCTGCCAGGATGCAGTCCAGCCTGGAGAGCCAGAACCTTCTGGAACTAACAGCTAAGGAGCCAGACTCTTGTTTTAAATGGTGGCTGAATGCAGGGGCGGCTTCTAGCCTTTCCACTCTAAATTCTAAATTTAGATGCAGGGGGTAAACAGAGCCCGGCAGCCTCCTGATTTGAGAGACCCCCGGGCACTAAACAGAGGAGCCCGTGTTTGCAAAAACTGCTCTCCCCCCGACTCAAACTTTAACACAAACAAATGCATTTTGTTCCAAGGGCAAAGAAAAAAGTCTTCAATCCTCCCCAACACCTCGGCAGCCAGGCATGGGGCGCCACACTCCGGGTGAGGGGGCAGCTCTCACGCCCAAGTCAGGCGTCCCCACCTGGGCTAGCGGGAGTGGAGGGGACCCTCAGCCTGGAAACTGAGGCTCGGGGAGGGGAGAGACATTCTCGTGATGGCCACCTGGGACGGCGCTGGCCTGGGCTGAAGGGTGTCCACCCAAATCCATGCCCACCCAGGCCCTCAGAACACAAGCCTATTTGAAAAAAGGGTCTTTGTTGATGCAACTGGGTTAATGATCTGGAGAGGAGATGGTCCTGGGCTCCCTGGGTGGGCCCGGCATCCACTGACCAGTGTCCTGATAAGAGACAGAAGGTGCGGCCACAAACCCAGGAGCACTTGGGGGCCCCAGAAGCTGGAAGAGGCGGGAAGGACCCTCCCCCCGAGCTTTCGGAGGGAGCCGGCCCTGCAACCCCTTGATCTCGGACTTCTGGTCTCCAGATCCGTGAGAGAACGCAGCTCTGTTATTTTAAGGCGCTCAGTCTGTGGGACTTTGCTGTGGCCGCTGACGCACCCGCCGTCCCGCGGGCCACGGACAGAACCGCTTTACGGGCCCGCCAAATGATTCACCCACTCGTCCAGCAAACGCCGGCCAAGGCTGGGTGCTGAGGGTGCTGGCGCCACCCCTGTGGCACCTACAGCCCTCCCGGCGGGCCCACACACAGCAGTGGCCACTGCCCCCCGGGAACCCGCCCCCCTGCCTTGGCTCCACAGAGGAAACGCAGCAGATGGCCCAGCCCAGCAGCCCAGGCGCCCTATTTTCAAGTCTGTCCCACGCATCCAGCCAGAGGTGCCGGTCTGGCGTGGACGCAGCGTGGTGATGGGCAGCGGCCCGGCCGGCAGACCTCTCCCTGCCAGGCTGTACCACCTGGTAGGCAGACCCTGGTCTGTCCGCCCTGGACGGGGAGCCACGGGGCATGGCAGGGCCGGGCTCGTTCCCCTTGTGGCCCACGAAGCCACGCAGAGGACAGCGAGGGAGAGCCACCGTCGGGCGCTCTGAAGCCCCCAGCCAGGCTGCTCTGGCTCGCGCTTCCTGAGCTGTTTGTCCAGGATGTGCCAGGAGCACAGCCCATAACTCGAGCCGCGACCGCTCCACCCGCCTAGACAGCTGCAGGGGCGCCACTGCTGTGAATGGGAGTCGTCTGCCCAGGAGCTGGGCGGCGGGGGTGCCGGGCCCGCGGGAACAATGGCCAGGCCGGGGCCGCAGCTGACGGCGAGGCTGGGGCACCGGTGCCAAGCCGGGCACAAAGGGGCCGTTTTCCCGGCCGGCGGGCGGATGTTTGCACAGGTGTGCGAGCGGGAGCGCCGTTCGCAGGGGCCGGGCCGGGGGCAGCTCCGAGCGGCCGGGAAGGCGGGGGCCGGTGCCAAGGCCGAGCATCGCTTATCAGCCGAGCTGCGGGCCGTCACCCATGCGCTTCCCACCGCGCCATCCGGCCCCGGGGATCCTCCCGGCTCTGGGTATCCTGTCCCTCCACAGGACCTGCCTGTCACCAGGACGCCTCCCCTCCCCTGCCCGGCGCTGGGCTGTCCCACCGAACCTGCTGGGGGGGATGGGCCGGGGGCTGCCACGCCCGGGCCTGTGGAGGCACAGGCCTGCAGGAGGGCCGGCAGAGCTTGCCTTCCCTGGGCGGCCTGGCACACTGGAAGCTTCCAGAAAAAACGCTGACTCGGCTGATATCAGGCACCCCTACCCCAACATGTGTGGATCTCACGGGGGTGTGGGTGGAGGCACACGGGGCAGCTTCCCGCCCCACCCGGACCATCCGGGATGGGCCTCCCTGCGGAGGCTGGTGGGGAACACGGGGAGAGAGCGAACCCCTACCCCGCTTCCGGAAGGAAGCAAGTCAGGGACAGACACGGCCAGGGCCCGGCACAGCCACTGCCCGGACCCGGGACCCCTTGGACCTGGAGCTGCCCCGAGGCCTCGGCCCGACCTCGTGCAGCCTGCAACCCTCTCCTCTCCCTGGCTGAGCGAGCCTGGACGTCAGCCCCCCAGCCCCCAGCTCAAAGGGGCTCCCACCGGCCACCCTCAGCTTCAGGCAGCTCGCGGCTGGGCCGGTGTCACCCACTCTGCTGCTCAGGCTGATCCGGACCCCGGGCACTAGCCCCTGGCACCCAAGCGCACCCCACAGGGAAGGGGGAGACCCAAGGCCGGCCCACGGCGCTGGCATTCGGGCTGCAGCCCTGCCTTCCCCCACGGCCAGGGTCTGTCCGGGCCGCCTCAGGGCCCCCTGCACGTGCTGTTCCCAGGCCGGTAAGCTGCTGGCCACCCTGCCACCGAGAGCCCAGGACCTGTCTCCCCACAAGGCCTGAGCGGAGGGTCTGTTGAGGGGTGTCCTCTGTGCCCTGAGGCCCACACACAAGTGATGCTGGGCTTCCGTGGTGAGCAGGCCCCGGGGGCCACACAGCTCAGACGTCCTGCAGTGGGCGGAGACCCCTGCAACCACCCACAGCATGGCCATGTGCCGCCCCCCACGCCCCACGTCTCCCTTCCCCACCACAAGCCTGATCCCTGGAAGGAGCCAGCCCACGCTCCTGGACACTTCCAGGCCGAGGCCCGGGTGCTGGGTGCTTGCAGGAGGGGGACACGGCACACCCAAGGAGCCCAACTTCACAGGCGGGGGAGCCTCCAGGCCCCCAGGACAGAAGCCGGGGTACCTGTGTGTCACCGCTGCCCGGGGCCGGCTACAGAATTTGCGGGCCGGGTGCGCAGTCAAAACGTGGGAGCACTTTCCTTTTTCCCAGCATCCCCCGACCTGTCACGGTGGCTTTTGTTTGCTCTACAAAGTCACGCTCCTTGGTGCAGGGATACTTGAGGGGCCAGCACAGAACCTCACAGACGCAGGGCACAGGGTGGCGGAGGAGCCGGCCCCGGGGAAGGCGGGAGCTGGGACCGCATGCGGCCGTCGTGCCCACTGCACAGTCACTCTCCGTCCCGCCAGACCTGCCTCCCAAACGGCAGGTACAAAGATAAAAACCTCACGGACCCCACAATGGTGACTGTCGGGCTTTACGCGTCCAGCGCGGGGCCCTTCTGTGCGCGGAGCCCTGTGCCCAGGCGGGGCTTCAGGCGTTCGCGGGCTGGTCTCGAGGCGGAAGATCTTGAGACACCAGAGCCCCAGGGCGACATCCCGGCCCCGCCCCGCCCAGGCTCAGGGTGGGCAGTGGCCGCGTGGCCCAAAGGTCCCGACTTACCACCCCCCACCAGAGGGCGTCCGCGTAGCTGCCGAACTCGACCTGGCCCGACTCGTTCACGGCGTCCTTCTCGGCCAGGTACACGAAGTAGGAGGAGAAGATGAGGCCCAGGAAGCCAATGTACAGGGTGGTGATCAGCTCCTGGGAGACAGCAGAGGAGGTGTGACCCGCCGGCGCCCACGGGCAGCCGGGGCCCTGCGCACCCGCGCCGGGCAGACATCACAGGCAGCAGGGCCTGCCGGCACCAAGCCCCAACATTTCCCACCAAGTAGACATAAATGCCAGCATGTCTCACATGCAGACATCGGACTTCAGAAATAACTTATTTTTCCCAGCTCGTCAGTGGCAGCGTTGGGTCTCAGCCTCCAGGAGCGAGGCCAGTGCCCTGGACCAGCAGCCCGGCTGTTTCCCGCAGAGCCTCGGTGAGATGCGGGGCCGGGCCTCACGAAGGGGTGCGGGTCAGCCATCTCCGCCTCACGGGGCTGACCATGATCTGCCCCCGTTTTAGATTTCGGGGCCTCTTGGACCCTTTTCCATGTGGCATTTCTGTCCTTCCATCTGCCTGACAGTCTCTTGTCCCAGCTTGCGGGACGTGGGCACCATGTGCCTGGCAGGCTGGGGACACTGGCCCCTCAGGTTGGGGGCAGGACGGCCCAGCTGGCTCAGGCCGAGGCTGGGCCGAGACCCTGTCCTCCCCCCCCCCGGACCACCCACCTGGCGGTGGATGAAGACCACCGAGCCCAGCAGCCTCCACGTGCCCCCCTGGCGGTCGACGTGCAGCATCCTCAGGATCTGGAGGAAGCGGATGCCCCTGCGGAAGACAGGTCGCTGTGCGCCCGTCCCCCATGTGCCCCTCCCCTTCCCCCGTGCACCCCTCCCCTGCCCTGCGCGCCCCTCCCCCGTGCGCCCCTCCCCCCTCCCGAAGCCCAGGGTCAAGGTGGGGGCAGCACCCCAGGCCCGGAGCCAAACCTGTACATTTCTCAATTCCTTTGGCCCCCAGACCACCTTCTGGGGGCGGCCCCAGGATCACCCCAGTTTACAGATGAGCAGACTGAGGGCCCCAGACTGTTAGGTCCCAGCCTGAGTCACAGAAGTGAGTAAGCGCTCCTGCCCAACTCAGCACCGGCCCTGAGCCTAACTGCCCCCCCCCAGCACACGGCCCCGCCACTCTCACACCCCCACACTGGGGAGCCCGCAGCCCCGCCTACCTGATGGCCGAGGTGGCAAACACCTGCCCTTTGGAGCCCACGCAGAGGACGACCATGGAGGCCACGACCACGATGAGGTCTGGAGGGGACAGCGCCACCGTCACCAGCCTGGCAGCTGGACACCGGCAAGGAGCCTGGCGGTCAGGCGGGACAGGGCCCAACAGCGGGGACACGGAGACACCTCAATGGGGAGACCAGGCCCTCCGTCCCAGGCACGTGCAGAGGCCGCCCGAGCCTACCTCCCCAGCCCTGTCTCGCAGGCCGCTGAGGGCAGCGGAAGCCCAGGTTGTGTTGAGCTTGACCAGACCCCCTGCCTTGTGAGCAGCCTCTTGGGACAGAGGACCTGGGCGCTGAGGCTGGCTCCTGTGTGGGGGACATGGGAGTTCACCCCACTGGCCTTGGGATCCTGCCCTGTCACAGGCGGAGGAGGGACTCTGCCTGGTGGTGCTCGTGATGGGGGTCCACCTGCCAGATTCTGGGGGAGGGGGCTCAGCCCTTGCCAGGAAACCTCGGGGTGAAGCTTCCGGGGGGTGGGCGTGACTCACCAATGATGGAAATGGGCTTCCGGGCAAAGCGCAGCCGGCCCCAGATGCCCACGTACTTGCTGCGGCAGCCGGCTGACCAGAGGCGGACCACGTACTCCGTCCCAAAGAACACGACCAGGACGATCTCCTGCGGGGACAGAGGGACATGAGCTCACCTCGGGCCCCTCCCCCGTGCACCCCTCCCCCTCCTCCGTGAGCCCACTGAGAGCAGGCGGCCTGGGCCCTGGTCTGCTGCATCGCCTACCTGGACAGGCCCAGGTCCACCACCGCATTCAGTACCATAGAAAAAAGATTAGACACTATGACCAAGTGGGATTTATACCTGGAACGCAAGGACAGTTCAGCACATAAAAATCAACCAATGTAATACATGACATTAACAGGACGGGGGGAAAAAAATCACATGGTCTCCTGATCGCAACGGATGCAGAAAGAGCATTTGACAAGATTCAGCACCCTTTCATGATAAAAACAGTAAACAAACTAGGAATAGAGGGAAACTATCTCCGTGTAATAAAAGCCATATATGAAAACCCCACAGCGAACGTCATATCAACGGAGAAAGGCTGGAAGCTTTTCCTCTAGGATCAGGACCGAGACAAGGATGCCCACTCTCACCACGTCTATTCAACAGAGTACTGAAGTCCCAGCCAGAGCAATTACGCAAGAAAGAGAAATAAAAGGCTTCCAGATTGGAAAGGAAGAAGTAAAATTATCTCCGTTCACATACGATATGATCTTATGTGTAGAAAGCCCTAAAGATTCCATGCAAAAAAACTGTTAAATCTAATAAACGAGTTCAACAAAGTAGGATACAAAGTTGATCACAAAAATCAGTTGCATTGGGCTTCCCTGGTGGCGCAGTGGTTGAGAATCTGCCTGCCAATGCAGGGGACACGGGTTTGACCCCTGGTCTGGGAAGATCCCACATGCCGCGGAGCAACTGGGCCCGTGAGCCACAATTACTGAGCCTGTGCGGCTGGAGCCTGTGCTCCACAACAAGAGAGGCCGCGATAGTGAGAGGCCCACGCACCGCGATGAAGAGTGGCCCCCGCTCGCCACAACTAGAGAAAGCCCTCGTACAGAAACAAAGACCCAACACAGCCAAAAATAAATTAATTTTTAAAAATCAGTTGCATTTCTATGCACAAACCATGAACAATCTGGAAGGGAAATTATAAAACAATTCCATTTACACTAGCACCAAAAAGAATAAAGTACTTATGAATTAACTAAGGAGGTGGGACACTTGTACAATGAAAACAAAACAATACTGTTTAAAGAAATCAAAGACGACAAATAGATCGAAACACATCCCACGTTCACAGATTGGAAGACTTAATACCGTCAAGATGTCAATGCCACTCAAAGTGATCTGTAGATTCAATGCAATCCCTCTCAAAACCCTGATGACAATTTTTGCAGAAATAGAAAAAGCCCTCAAATTCACACGAAATCTCAAGGGCCCCTGGATAGCCAAAACAAGATGTGGTCCATCCACACGACGGAATATTCCTCAGCCTTATAAAGGAAGGAAGTTCTGGCACAGGCTACAGCGTGGATGGACCTGAGGACGTTGTCAGCTCACTTCCAGCTGGTGCCCTGCCCTGTCCCCACCCCGTCCCAACCCAGGGAACCCAGCCCTGTCTGGGGACTTCTGCTCCCATGCCCGGCCTTGCCTTCCCCCACCAGGGAGCCCACCGGGAGGGGGTAACTGGACACTGGCTCCCGAATATCCATAATTAGGATGGAATACTCATACCATCCAGCTTGTGTTTGGGGCAAGCTCGGGGAATAATGGGAGAAAAGGTGGGAAATTTACCGCTTTCCTTTTGCAAGAAAGTTCTTGGTTCGCAACGTCAAGTTCTTCAGGGTCGGGGTATGTATGGTTGGGGGCACGTGGGGGATGGTGGAGAGTGAGGGAGGGTGGATGCTTGCAGGCTCTGTGGCCTCAGAGGGTCGTGCTGGTGCCACCTCTGTCCTCAGCTGGAGGGTGGCTGAGCCCACCGGGGAAGGGGCCATGTTTACCTGCCCGCTGCCCTCTCCCCGGCCCCAGAGGATGCCTGCCCTGGTTGGCCCTGGACATGGATCTGCTGAGTGAGTGAATGAATGAATGAATGAACGAACGACCAATCAGACCAACGAGCGACCGAGGGCTCCCTGGTACCAGGGCTTCGTCTCGGGCGTGTGTTTCCCGAGATTCTGGCCCAGCCGGTCCTAAGTGGGTGTAAGGAGGAGATGACAGACAGGAGGCCCTAGCAATGAACGACGGCGTAGGGGGGTAGCGGCTGGAGGGTCCGGCTTCCAGTGTTTGGCCATCTCGACAAGGGCCGCAGAGCCACCACCTCTGGGTCCCCAAAGCTGAGACACCAGTGCTGGCATCTTCACAGAGGAGGGGTCACTGGACTGCTGATGGCCCTGAGGGGGCGGACAGAGTCCCCCAAAGAGCAGTCCTCAGGGCCTCCATCCCAGCTCTGCAAATCCAGACACCGTCGGGCTGGTCAGTCACTTAGCAGGTTTTTTCTTATTTCGATGCGTTATTTTGTTACTTAAATACCTTCTCCAGCCCCGTCCTAAGCATATTCGAAGCGGTAGAAATCTTACAAACATCAGGTAAGAGCTTACTGCACTTCAGTCTTGCAACAGACCTTCTGATAAATAAGTAACTCCCAGGGCTGGCTGTTGACGCTGCGTGTCTCCCCCTCCCCCCAAATTATCCTGGCCTCGAGCTCAGAGCTCCCCCTGCCCTCTTGGGGCTGGCGGGCTGTGGCTGAGGGACTCTCCCCCTGGAGGGGTGAGGTGTAGGAGTAATTTAAAACAACGCTAATCCCCAAATCCCATTTGAGTCTGGAATGCAGCTCGAGGCCGGGCTGTGCATTAATGTGGCACCGCCGGCATGCTGGGCGGGAGAGAGCCCGGACCAGGGCAGGGGGAGCACACGTTTGCTCCAAGATCAAATGATCCCCACACCGTCAGCCTCGAGTGCTGGGCAGCGTGGTACTTGGGGCCAAGGCCGGGACCTCTGGATTGGCCGCCGCTCGCCGGGACCTCCAGGGCGTCGCTGTGGCCCCAGCCATCACCGCCTTTTGGAGCCACCTGTCCACTGACCTGGGTGCCGGGAGGGCGGACAGGCTGGCCCAAAGTTCTGGACCTGCAGGGACTCTGGAATTTTTTCACCAGAGGGGCCTGGGCCACCCTGGGCTGGGGGCTGCTCTGGGGGCTTTGACTGGGCTGGACTGTCCATCTGTGGAGGCCAGTAGGCTAGGGCCTGCCGGAGGGCTGATCCCCCAAGTCTTCCTGTGGGGCTGCCCCTGACTCAGGGGACAGCACCCCCAGTCCAAAGCAGGCTCACGGAATGGCAGGGCTGCTTCCTCTTAGCTCCGGGGAAAGGGGGACCAGTCTCCAGCCTCAGTGACCCAGACCCAGAGGATGACCCCCCGAACCCCTACCCCCGGCCACTCTCCCTGCCCTGGGTTTTCTCCAGCCGGCAGAGGCAGGCCTGCAGCTCGGCTGTCTCTGCAGACCAGGCCCTGAGCAAGCCCCGGAGGGGAACACAGAGGCCTCAAGCTCCCCCCAGAGCCTGCCCACCTCAGCCCCTGCCTCCACACCCCAGCTCAAGCCACCGCCCTGGCCCCATGGCCCACACTAAGGGTCAGGGCTTGCCCCGGCCCACCCGAGAGCCTGCCGCCGGCCCAAGGCACGCGCCCCTCCCCACCTGGGCCCGAGTGCTCGGCCTGGGGCCCTGTCCTTCCAGCTCCTCCCCCCACCCCGCTCCCCAGGTCCCCACACCCCCCTCGGTCCCGCTCAGGCCCCCCCCATCACACCTGACCCCTCCACTGATAAGAGTCAGCCCAGAGGCCCCTGTCCACGAGCCCACGTGGTGCCTGCGTGCCCGCATGTGAGCAGGGGTCAAGGATACCGGCCGGAGCACGGCCCTGAGCTCTGCCCCACAGATATGGGGAGAAGGGGCCGTCCTCGTGTCAGGGACCTCCGCTAAGACCGCAGTCACCAGAGGGACGGAGGGCCCCCTCCCACCTGGCCACTGTCCCTCAGACAAAGCAAGGTTGCCTCCCAGCTGCACTTGGCCTCATGGACCAGGGACCTGTGAGCCGGCCGGGCGCCAACACCAGGGCACAGGCCCGAGAATCCCCCGCCTGTGGGAAGCAGACCAGGCGCTCAGGCGTCAGGGCTCCAGGCAGCCACGAGCCCCGCACCTGGCGGCCGTGCCCCTCCTTCTGTGAGTTTCAGAGCAGCGGGTCCTGGGCTCCCCATGTGTCTCACAAGCAGCGGGGTTTGGGGTGGCTCTTGGCAGTATTATTTGTAAAGTTTAGAATTACTTTAATTAAAAAACAAAGTTCCTAAGAAATAACTCAATTAAAAAATGGGTATGAAACTTGAATAGGCATTTCTCTAGAGAAGACATACAGACGGTCAAGAAGCACATGAAAAGCTGCTCAACACCACTGGCCGTCGGGAAACGCAAATCGAAACCACAGCGAGACACTGCCTCACACCCATCAGGACGGCTACTATCAGGGAAGCGAGATAAGTGCTGGAGCGGATGCAGAGAAGCTGGAGCCTTGCGCACGGTGGGCGGGAATGTAAAATGGTGCGGCCACTGTGGAACAGTGTGGAGGGTCCTCGAAAACTTAAAAATAGAATCACATGTGATCCAGCAATTCCACTTCTGGGTATAGCCTCAAAAAAAAAAAAAAAAAAGAAAAGAAAGCAGGATCTCAAAGGTATTTGCACACCCGTGTTCACAGCAGTACTATCTACAACAGCCGAAAGGTGGAAGCAACCCAAGCATCCATCGAATGAACAGATACACAAACTGAGGTCCATCCACACTACGGAATATTACTCAGCCTTACAAGGAAGGCAATTCTGACACAGGCTGTGATGTGGGCGAACCTTGGGGACACTACAGTCAGCGAGAGAATTCAGACACAGAAGGACAAATCCTGTCTGATTCCACCCACACGAGGTCCCTGGAGGAGTCACATCCATAGAGACAGAAAGTAGACGGTGGGGTCCTGCGGCTGGGAGAGGGGAGTGAGCGTGTAATGGGGACAGAGTGCCTAATGGGGACAGAGTCTCTGCTTGGAAAGACAGAAACTTCTGGAG